AGAATTTTTTTTTTGTTATGTATTGATATATAAGCGCTGTTTCCAGGCTCTTGACATCTGGATGTTTGGATGCGTCGGGTTCATCTTCCTCTCCCTTGTTGAGGTAAGTAGGTTTTGTAACAGATTGGTAGACTTTTCATTTGTGCCTCAAGAACGATAGTCTTCAAGTATAGACGTCTTCCAACAGTCACTTGGTGCGTTCGCGGTAGTTTTTAGAAAAACTACTTCAAAAACAACAATTCAATGGTGTTTGCTTTTTAGCAGTCGTTTTGTGTAATTGCACCACTTCAGCAATCGCTATAGACGAGGGTGGTGGCAGTAAATTCGCTGGGAAAGGGCCAGCAATTCTTGAACTGCATTTGCCATTGCGAATTCTTTAAGGAGTTTATGACACATGAGACTGTTAGTGATACTGTACTTTGCCTACTTATCCCAAACATGTACTGCATAATATGTAGAGAGAGGGATCTGATGTAAAAGCTTCTTTCATATATTAACCTATTTTCTCCAGCTGGCCGTTGTCGGTTTCGCTGACAAGCTGGAAGCGAAGAGAAAGCGGAGCCAGCGAATGCAAGAACAGTCATTAATGCGTACGGACTCCGAGCATCAGTGGCTATCAAGACTTCAGAGAAATGTTCTTTCTGATGGTGAATGCAGCAATGAAATACAACCTATCGTTTCTGAAGGGCAATATTTCAGCTGGAGGAACAAATTACCTCGTTTCTGGTTCGCTTCCGGCTGAAGGAAACGGAAACGCGCAACGAATGAGGGATGAACGATATCGTCGACAAGTCCGAGTAGAGCATCCTAGTTACGTTAACGGGGAACGAATAGATGAGGTTGGTTAGGAATTGTGTTTTGCCAAGATGAGATTATCGAGCATGAGAAATGTAAAAAAGTGTGAAAATGTGTTTGCTGTCATTCTCTGGAAACCTAAAACTATATCATGCAGGCAATCGGATAAACTTTCGGATACGATATTATGAGTTTACTCCTCAAAGAGACTCTCTTTAACCTCCTTACTAGGATTCATACTGAAACCGGTTACGTAAACGGATTAGAAAGTCATAAGCATTGCCCAAGCGGCAGCATATATGGGTTAGCTTTAAATTTAGCTCCAGATTACCGTACTCTTTCACAGCTTCCAATCAGCGCCCACGAGTACGGTAATGGGGAAGGATTTAAAGCAGGGTCTCTTGGGAACGATTGATCCATACAGTCGAGTAGATTTTCTGCTTTATATAGTGTAATTT